CCGAATAAACCTCTGAATTCACTAGTTGAATACGTTATTAATATAAATTGACGGTCGTAGTTTTTACAATATATATATATATATATATATATATATATATATATATATATATATTAATTATATATATATATTATTTATATTATATATATATATATATATATATATTAATTATATATATATATATATATATATATATATATATACAGGGTGGTCCTTAAGTAATTGTACAAAAAGAAACCGCAGATTTTACGCTTTAAAATAATACGATTAAAGTCAACTTGCTTTAATAAAAAGTTGATATTAAAAAAGATACAGGGTGTTAAAGTGGAAATTTAAAATTTTATTTTTCGCTATAACTTTCATGTTTGTAAACATTTATGTATAAAAATTTACAACTGAGTACTATTTAATATTAGGAATTATAATTTGAGGCATACTTTGATATAGCCGATAGAGGGCGCCACATATACCACATATGTGGCATACATTTGCACTTAACTTTTTTGTTCTTCAAGTTAGCGGTATTTTTGATAAAAAATATTAAAGATACATTATTTTAACAAAGAAAAGGTATACTTGTTAATAACTTCAAAACTCAACAGTTTTCGAGATAATCGCATTTTACAAATCAACTGCATAATTCTGATTTAACGCAATTACTCCAGGCAATGAAAGAAAAATAGATAAAAACATCAATACTTCTAAATTTTGTTATAAAATTCCTTTAATAAAGTTAATAGTTAACGAAATATTAAATAAAATAAATATATCAGCAGGATAATTAATAATAGAATTCGATAAAATAACAGAATAATTGGATTTTACATCAAACATTTTACGTTTTGTATTAAAGTCATAATCAAAACATTTTATTTACAAACCAAATTAAGAAATTGTTAAACTAAATAACATTAAATTTTTTGTCAAAGTAAGTGTTCGATATGTCCACCATTTTCTTTAAATCATTTGTTGATACATTCTATAAAATATTGTCTTATATTAAATAGCATCATTGGTTCTAAAGAACCAATTCAAAACAAATTCTAAAGAATAGAATAAAATAATAATAATAGAATAATAATAATAATAGAATAAAAGAAAGTCATATTCTTGTGGTGAGATATTAATATAATTATTTAGTTCATAAAAATTTCAAAAAATTACTTATTATTATACGTATAACACTTATAATAAATACTGCAGCAGTTTCTTTAGAACCAATGATGCTATTTAATATGAGACGATATTTTATGGAATGTATTGACAAATTAATTAAAGAAAATGGTGGACATATTGAACACTTACTTTGACAAAAAGTTCAACGTTATTTAGTTTAACTCTTTCTTAATTTGGTTTGTAAATAAAATGTTTTGATTATGCCTTTAATTTAATACAAAACGTAAAATGTTTGATGTAAAATCCAATTAGTCTGTTATTTATCAAATCCTGTTATTTTATACTGCTGATATATTTATTTTATTTAATAATTCGTTAACTATTAACTTTATTAAAGGTATTTTATACCAAAATTTAGAAGTATTGATGTTTTTCTTTAATTTTCTTTCGTTGCCTGGAGTAATTGAGATAACTCAGAATTATGTAGTTGATTTCTAAAATGCGATTATCTCGAAAACTGTTGAGTTTTGAGGATATTAAAAAGTATACCTTTTTTTTGTTAAAATAATGTATCTTTAATATTTTTTAATAAAAATACCCATAACTTGAGAAGCAAAAAAGTTAAGTGCAAATATATGCCACGTATGTGGCATATGTGGCGCCCTCTATCAGATACATCAAAGTACACATCAAATTAAAATTTATGATATTTAATACTACCCAGTTGTAAATTTTTATACATAAAAGTTGACAAACATGAAAGTTATACCAAAAAATAAAATTTTAAATTTCCACTTTAACACCCTGTATCTTTCTTAATATTAACATTTTATTAAAGCAACTTGACTTAAATCGAAATATTTTAAAGTGTAAAATCTACGGTTTCTTTTTGTACAATTACTTAAGGACCACCCTGTATATATATATATATATATATATATATATATATATATATATATATATATATATATATATATATATATATATATATATATATATATATATATATATATATATATATATATAATTACACATGTAATTAAATTTTAAAACCTACAAACCCAACAGTTAGCTCTATGATTCTAAGATCCAGCACTATAAAGGTGAAAAAATAAAAAAACATTAAAAATAAAACAATATGTAAAGTATTACCTAATTACAATAAATACATGAAGCATTTTACAAAGTTGAGTTTCCAAACTCTATGGTACTAGTAACTCTTTTCTACTAATATTTATATATTTATTAAGAGACATATTAAATATATTTAGATTTAGGTTGTTCTACAAAATGGAACATTAAAAGTACATAGATGAGACAAATCATGGTAATATGGTAGATACTCTAATATAAGACCAATCTCACTCACAAAAGAGGGAGACCTCTCCATATGATAGTGTTGTCATGGTCTGCTAATCTAATCCAACTTTGAAAGGCGCACACCTGCAGAAATTTTTGCCAAACCCTCTCTAATGTGATGCTTTTTAAGATAGTTGTTGAATCACCTTTAGATAGTTGATTAAATTTATAATTAACTAATTTTATTAGTAAAAGCACCGGTAAAAGGTCTCATATTGGCATAATAGTTCTTACCTGGTGCTGGTAAAAACAAACTCAGAACGGCTGTTCTCATAATACCGGTATGACCAACATTAATTATATCTTCTTTAAAATGACTAGCGCCTACACGAAAATTGTTATAAATAGTTTCTGTTGCAGCATTCTTTAATTAGGGCTTTTAACAGCATTCGCCCATTTATCAAACATATCCATATAATCTCCTGGACTTGAAAAACGGTATTGCTTGCCAGTAGTATCCATGCAATCTGGAATACATCTTTTTTGTTCAGTTCTTCGTCTCTACATTGTTATTCCATGTTATGTGGTTGATTCCATAATAAAAAATCGTCTAAAATTGTACTTTTTTGCACTACTTATATAAAAAAATTTAAACTATAAAATAAATTATAAAAAATAAAACAAATACAAATATGGCGCCGTATTTGTCTAAATTCAACTTTGATTTGACCACAGCACACTCCCTCCGCGTAGAAACGAGACTAGCAGCGCCACCAAACGAATGGGCGTATGGGCGCTAAATCCGAACGTGATTTGACATTCCCTATTACTGTTACCAATCTAGGTGTAATTTTATCTATGATCATGAAAAAATATTTATATTTTATTAATATTATTAACATGATAAATTAAACATATGCGTAAGTAAGTTATGTATATTATCATTTTTAAATATCTCTGAATATTGCATTTTAATTTGTATAGTATTATTATATTGAATTATGTTGAACTGTATTGTATTGTATTTTAATATTAATAACAAAATAAACAATGAATTTTACTGCAGAGTATGTGTAAACATTTTTTTGTGCATTCAACTCCTTTCATACATATATGAAAATATAAATATACATTTTCATCAAAATATTGATTCAATCCTTCATTTACTATACTCCTATTACAGGTAAAATGTTGTTTATATACAGCAAACGATGGACCATATACCTATATACCTAATTATGTTCCTCTTTCTGCTCTCTCTTACCTATAGCATTACATGATTATGCAGATTGACTCTCATATAAATTTATAACGGCGAACGCGCGTACAGAAGTGTAACTCTTACCGGCAGTCCCACTGGACTACTTTATTCGTTTTTTTTTGTTTTCTAATTAATATTCACACGGCTGCTAGTTTGTACCATATAGGTACATTGACTTCACCTCCCGACTTTATTTCCCATATTGATCTCCTTCGAAAGGACTAATTAAGTCCCACTTCAAAAATAAACACTTTTAAAGACATTTTCCCGTTACATGGTCCAATTTCTCTAAGTTAATTAATTAACAGCATGTGCAGACTAAAATACTCTGAGGAAATAGGATTAAAGCAAAATGGTTTTTTCGATTAGAAAAGGTAATTTTCTTGATTCCCACTTGTTGCTATGGATACGACACCGAGCCGTACGGCTGATAAGATTAGACGTGGGTAATCGTATTTAGTACATAATAAGAAACAAATTTTGTTGGTCACGAAATAAACAAAAAGTTGTTTGAGTTTCAACACGAAAATATGTATATTTTTGTTTTTTTTTTGTTTTAAACTAGCAAGCAACAAAGTATGCAAATTTTAGCCGTAACATTTATAAATATGAATGTAATAATAAGCCATTTACCATGAAGTAAAAACTTATTTTTTGAAAAATGGTATAAAATTTTATTATTAAAAAATTATTAACAAATTATTCAAAATGGATTTATAAATTTTTAGAATGTTTCCTATCCGAAAAGACTATGGTATTTAGGCAACCACTGTGAATTTCTCTTTTAAATTTTAATAATAATCACTTTTTCATTTTTTTACTGCGTATGGTAAATCTGAGCCCTGATTCTATTTCATTTCGATGTCGAAATTTAAAAACGACTACGCCATGACAGTCGCAATCGCTAGCGATTCTCATTCATTTCGATTTTAGTTCAAAGTGGGGATATTTACTTTATCATATTGACATTGCTGAGAATTTGGGTTGGCCCTCTTGTTTATTTGCTGCACGCTGCACAAGCACATGTACGAGTCTACGACGCCTTGTTGTATCACAATTGTTTTGTTTATACATATTGTAAGCATACAATACATATTGTTTTGTTTGAAATTAGTTTGTTTTACGTTATATTGTACGTATCGTTTTTCTTTTTTGAGTAAGTTTAATTTAATAAAAATGGATGGAGAATCTTTCGGTGATGGTGGTGATGGTGCCACTAAATTGTCGGTGGAACAAAGGGAAATAATGGTGGCTTTTTTGGAGGACCATCCTGATTTTGCCAAGGGCAAACTCCTTGGCCATGATGGCAAGGAAAAAAAAAGGAATGGGGGAAATTTTAAGTACCCAATTAAATGGTGTATCTGGGCCCAAAAAAAGTAGCCAAAAATGGCAAAGAGTAAGTACATACTTTGAGTGGAGCATAAATGCTATAGATACTTTATATCGCGTAGAATTTTTTTTGTTCAAATTTTTGATTTTAAACACCACAAGACAAAATACTTATTTCATATATTTATTTTTTGTTGATAGGTATGGATTGACTTGAAAAATAAAGTGAAAAAGAAGGCTAGTGTCATAAGAAACAGCAGGACGCAGACAGGAGGAGGTCCTCCTTTAAAAGGAATCTTAACTGACCTAGAGGAAAGGATTATAAGGATAATTGGGGACACTGCCATATATAGATTAAGCAGTTCAAGGGATGATCCTTTGGACAGCGAGAATGAATGAACCCTCAGAGGTAGTTGACGTAAATTATGACCACGAAGCATCAAGCAGCACCATTACCGCTGGTGTATCAGAGAGCGAACCAGATGTGTTTGAAGAACATAATTACACTTCAGTAAGTTTTTTGTAGTATGATATTTAATGTTTGACTAAACTAATGTTTGTATTTTTGAACAATTTCCGAAGTGAAAATTGAAACGCCAATAAACATACTTTAACCTTTAATTGTGGCTTATTCCCAGTTAAATAGTAATTAATTTAAAATGCCACAAGAAAATAACTTCAGAACAATGATATGTTAATAATTCGTACAAAAATTTTATTACAATAATTAAAACAAAAACTCTTTTCAGACACCAGGAAACCCAAGAAAGCGCAGGCTGTTAAGTGCTGACAGTTTAAGTAGCTACTATGAGGTTTCCCCTAGAGCTACTAAAAGTAGGAAAGGTATGTACTTTGATTTATAAATAAATAAATAAATAGTGTATTTACTGTTATACCAATTAGGATAATTACAGTCATTAAATAAATCATATCATATTAACAGTTTTAGAATTCAATAATAATTACATACAATTTACACAAGACAAATAAATAGAATAATATCTAAATGAGGATAGGAGAATATTTATATATATATATTGAAACAGAAGAATTTGCTGACCACGTAAGGAAGTAAACTTTAAATATTGGGTATGCAGCAATAAATGAAACGTGTACTCTTTTAAATTTTTAATCCAAACTTTCGGACATTGGTTATGTCCATCATCAGGGAGCTACAAATGTAATGAATAATTTTTTTTTAATATTTTTAAAATGAATTAAAAATTCGATACTTACAAACTTAATGAGGTTGTATCATAAATGATTGTATAAAATGTTGATAAAATTTATCACAGTCTGTCATATTCTAAAACCTATTCCTATATTTAAATCCGATGGGTATTTTTATTTAATTTTCTTTGGTGGGGACATATATATATATATATATATATATATATATATATATATATATATACACTTCATCTAATTTAGATAACGACTTACGTCATTATCTACGTCAGAGATCGAAGTTGACATAGTTGCCAAAGTATAAAAAAATCCTGATTCCATTTTAAATCAAATAGATTACATAATTATTGCAAAAGTATTACCATCTCTTTACAACGACTATTTAAATTCTTACGTGACATTTTTGAAATAAAACACGCTAATTTTGTTCTAAAAAGAACAGATTTTATTAGATAGTTAAAAATATAAAACAAGAGACATTTACTTTAAAATTCAAAATAATGAAGTACAAAAAGTGTCAACACCGCAACTGTCAAATAAGTGTTACCAATTTATGCAAAAATTTTACCTTCGTTCGATTACAGTTACAGTGTGTTCCGAACAAATGTTCTTGATAAAAACGCTTTATAATGCATTTATACAAATTAATTGAAACATATTATTGTGTATTTGTTCAAGTTAATAATAATAGAAATTTTTAAATATGATTTCTACGCGTATATAATAAAATATGTCTAGTGGCTGTAATGTCAGTGTACTCGGTAAAGTGGTTCTAAAAAAGAACACACCTACACCCTAAATATTTTGTGTTGGTATCATGTGACGCCACAGGCTATGACGCCGATGACGTGCATCGTTATATAAATTAGATGAAGTGTATTATAACGAAGCTTATAAGCTTAAGTACTTTGATTTGTTTCAAGTACTTTTCATTCCATTAATAATTTTATGTTTTTTTTTAGTTCATCCAGCAACATCTGCAGCCCAAGCAGCAACAAGGTTTGCTGAAATTGGTGAAGAGTTGAACCAGAGAATAGAGTCAATTGATCAAAAACTAGAACAACTGATCGAAGAAAAAAAAAGAAACTAACTCCATTTTAAGGAATATTGTAACTGCAATCGAAAACTTAAAAAAATAATTGTTTTACATTAATAATAATAATTTTTCATTAGTTATATGACTTTTATTTTAATTATCCTGCAATTAAGTTTAGGTGTTCAACACAAGCATAAAACAAGAAAAAGCCATGGCTGTCATAAATCATTAAATTTAAACATATACTACAAGTTATGTACAAATAAAGTAACACATATTGAAAGGTTTAAATAAAATTTTTTTATTCCACAACAAACATATTTTACAGAATAAAATGTAATTACAAGTATGCTAAGATAAAGTAATTGAAGCTGATAGAAAGCTATATTTAATTGCTTTGATGTTGAAGATATCTATGTCACTATTTTTTTAGTATTATATTGCACTGCCTCGTCATGTTGTTTATGGGTGAGCAGTCTGTCTCACAAATAAAAAAAAACAGCCCTCTGTGACTCAACCTTAATAATTTTAGGTACCAAGAATTTTACATAGTTGATCAAGTATAAGTCTTTATATTTTAAGTTATTTACAATATAATATACAAGTAGCATTTTCTGTCTCTGTTCCAGTGTTACAAATTTGAAAGTTTCAAGCATACTTTCAAGCATACTAAAACCAGTTTGAGGATTTTTTCCAGTAACTTTAATATCAAAAGCACATAATTGATAAGTATGATCTGATTTGATTTATTATGAATACAATGAAATAACTTAAGATCATCAGCAAATAGCAGGAAGTGTGAGTTTTGATAGCCTGTATGTCTTGTCCGTATAGATAATTTAGAGATATAAATATATATATATATATATATTTATATATATATATATATATATATATATATATATATATATATATATTAATTACAATTTAACTGGGAAATAAGCCACAATTAAAGGTAAAAATACGTTTATTGACGTTTCAATTTCCACTTCGGAAATCATTCTCAAAATACAAACCGTTTGTATTTTGAGTTACATAAAAACTTTCAAAATAGCGTTTTCCAAATATTCCTATCTTTATTTATTATTTATTGCTAAGGAAGTTGCAAAATTAGTCAAAAATTTTGTTGTTTATAAATGTTAATAACTTTTTTGAAAATAAACTTATAACATTTATATTACATGGAATGCTGTGGCTTATAGTACTTAAAATATGCTCAAATTTCAAAGTGACTTTTTATGACTTCTTACGACTTTTTATGAATGACTTCTTATGGCTTTTATTGACTTTTTATGACTTCGTATGACTTCTTATGACTTCTTATGACTTCTTATAACTTTTTATGGTTTTTTATGACTTCGTTTGACTTTTATGACTTCTTGTTACTATTCTTTCATAAATATGGCGAAAAAAATTTTAATGTGTGACTTATCACACCAATTCACACCATTGTAGTCATTGCTATTGATGTCGCATCTTTTTATCTGGTGCTTTTTCAGAATTACTATAAAAATAGATGTAAATCAATTTCTCAGGTGCTTTACTAGTAGTATAAACTTTATTAAAATGCTTAACTAAAGCACTGATATCTATGGTCTTTTTTTAAGAGTTCAGCTGGGATATTGTCTGGTCCAGTTGCTTTTTTGGTTTTGGCTAATTTTATTGTATAAATAACTTCAAATTTAAAATTTTCTCATTTTTCTTGCATTGCTTGTATTAACTTGTTTGTTCCATAAGGTCTAGTATTTCTTCTGTCATCTATTGTTGTTTATTATATCTATTGGTTACACTAATAGATGTTAGTATGTATCTTGAGCATGTTCACAAAATAATTTCCATGTTTTCTAAACATTTTGGGTTGTTCTCATTGTGCTTATATAACTGTGTACATAATTTTCGATTTTACGTTGTTTGACTTTTGAATTTTTTTTTGGTTCTACTGTGTTTGTTTTAATTTTTTCTCTATTACATCATAAGATGTTTACAATATATAAGGTCGTAGTTATATCGAAGTTTTAATATAATTGACAGTTTGGAAATGTAGATTGTTGTATTCTTTACGATCGATGTTGATTCTTTCACTTAAGTTTAGAGGGGAGGGGGCTCCTAGAGCACCCCCAGAAAAATCACCATAGAATTGACACTGCAATTTCAAACCGTCACGTTTCAAATTATGCTGGAAAATTTGGCTGGAAAATTTGACATTGCAATTCAATAAATGAAAAGAATGAAAATAAACCTACTGAGAATCAGCGAAATGAGATGGCCAGAGTCAGGATCATGTAAAAAGGACGGAAGAAGAACAACTAGAAGATCCAGAAAAACTATGGAATGAATTTAAAAACCAAGTTAACGAAATCCTAACAAACAATGATTATAGAAAAAACTTAATTAAGAAAAATAACTGGATCATAGACGACATCTTGAAATTAATAAAACAACGTCGACTGATAAAATCTAATGTAACAGAATATAGACACCTGCAGAAAAGAATAAAAAAGGAGATCAAATTAGTCAAAGAAAAATAGATGAGAGAAAGGTGCGACGAAATGGAGGATGTAATATCTAAACACGACTTATTTAATGTGCACAATAGACTGAAAAAAATGAGTAATATATTTAAAAAGCGAGTTACCTCTGTACTTGTTGACACTAATAACAAAATTATTGTAAATGAGCAAGAAATAAGGAATGAATGGCAGCTGTATATATCAGAGTTGTTTGAAGATGACAGGAATAATATTGCCAAATTCTACCAAAACTGTATTGACGCACAGAAATTATGAAATAAGAAGTAGAGCATGCTATAAATAATGCTACAATTAGAAAAGCTTGTGGTCCAGATGATACACCAACTGAGTTGCTGAAACTAATAGAGAATGATAACATAAAAGTAGTAGTAAGACTTTTTAATTCAATATATATCACCGGAGTGATTCCCGCAGATTAACTCAAATCCATCTTTATCGCAATACCTAAAAAACACAATGCAAGAAAATGCTCATAATATCGATTAATTAGCCTAATGAGCCACACTCTTAAAATTTTCCTTAGAATACTTTACAACAGTATTGGACGCAAATGCGAAGAAGATCTTGAAGATACTCAATTAGGTTTAAGAAATGCTATGGGAACCAAGGAGACACTTTTGCGCTTAACATCCTATTACAAAAAT